CAAAACCCCACTCACCAATCCCCCCTTCAAAAAGCCCTACACTTAAGGAGTAGGCTTCCTAAAGGCACCACTGGAGAGTCAGTGGCTTCCCCCACCCCCCAACATATTAACAGAATTTGCATGCATTAGGGTTATTTGTGGGTTTTTTTTAAAAAAAGCCGCCTAATATCACTGACTCTGTTTTTTGGGGGTGCAGTTTGGCTGCCTGCATTATTTGTAAAGGTTTAACTCCAGCTGGAAGACTGTTTATGACTTGACTAGATAGTTTGACATCAGGATTTGCAGGGGGGTTTTTTTACTTCGAAATGTAAAAAGCAATGTAACCAGCCCAAAGCAGCAGTCCTTTCAAGATTCAGGTGCTAAGTATTGCTATGAAGTGAATAAGGAAAGATTAAAACAAACACAAGAGTGGCACAGAAGTCATGAAGGCTTGTGAATACACCCATGAAACCCAAGACAGCTTCCCTTCAGCCCGCCATTTGCAAATCAGCACTTGGGTGAAATGCATTGAGAGCCAAACTCACTCATACTCCAAGCCAGTGATTCTTGCCTCCCTCTTTGCTTTTTAAATGACACAGACCCTGCCTCACGCCTAATAACTCCATGTGCCCCAGAAGGCCTTGCACTTCCACACTTATTTTTCTGCAAAGCTCCTAAACAGCAGATCTTGATGCCTACAAAGTGTTTGGGGAGAATTAAAATCCCAGTTGGCATTAGTAATATAGCTTCCAGCACGTGGGCTCTGCCCTCTCTCCGGAAGATTCATTTGGGCCAGTTTGGCCCTTGAATCATATTTAGACAGATCATTACTTCTTCAAAGCATGGGAAAAACATTCATTAATCCTCAGAAGTGGTCTGTGAAGTATGTTATTACAATTATTCCTCATTCATCCTCTTTGAGCTAGGCCTTATCTAGGAGGAAGAAACTTTGTCCCAGCCTCTGCTTGCCTTTTTTTTTGGAGGGGGGGGAAGGTGGTCCCTGGTGACGATGGCAAGGATGGCCAATGAGGCTTGTTTCTTTGTCCCCGGAGGGGAGGAGCCTTCTCGGCATTCTTCAGGCTGTGGCTGTGCAGAAACCAAACAAGGGAAAAGACCAACAAAATTTGTCAGGGTCCTTTCATCATTTCACCCATCAAAGTAGGAAGAAAAGTTCCCTCCCCTTCCCTGTCTTGGACTTAGGAGCCTGCCGAGGACTAGAAGGTGCACCAGAAGGGAGGCTTGTAACAAGGCAAATGAGCAAGGAAATCTGTCCATGGCATCAGTGGGGGGAAGGACACTTTATATTTGATAGCTTGACAGAAACTCAAAACATTTCCATGTTGGCAGTTTCTTCTCAAACTGGGACCTGGTGTTTAGGAAGCGGTGGAGGGGGACTGAAAAACTAGCAAAATAACAATATGGGTTTAAATGTTGAGGGTTTTTATGAAACCTAGTAATTCAATCTTATTCACAGTTTACCAGCATCTGAAAGGCATGCTGTGGAATGCATTACTCAAGTCTGAACATACCTGCAACAGGTCTGGTAGTCAATAATGGAATATAATTATTGCATGCCACTTAGACAGGCATTATTGCATTGAGTTTTGTAGAGCTTCAAAAACTGAAATGATGTTCTGTTTAGAGACGTGGATACTGCACAGCTTCATGCCTTTCAGTACATTTCAGCCTCTTTCCAATTCTATGTCATGGAAGGGTTGAGCACCAGTTCAACAGCAGGTTAACTGGAGCATCTACATAGCCATTAGACACGTCGGGATACATCATGCTGTTTTCAAAGCAACCAGCATGTGTCAAGCTTTATATTTTGCACATGGTACATCTAAGCATACTCATACCATATTCACAGATTGCAAAAATCCCACTCAACCCAGTTGTGCTCCAACAAGAGAGTTTTCATAACCACAAACCCGAGTTATTACTATAGCACCTCTGGGGAGGTCTTTAAAGACTAATATTTCTGAGGGAAGGATCTGCTACAGTGCTAAATGTAATACATTTTCCAAGGAATTTTTTGAAAATGCTTTATTAAATTTAACTTAAACTGTACTGGTAGCATGCTCAGCCTGTAATAAGAAAGCTCTTCTAAGTAAGATCTCAATTAACATGAAATTACAAAACGCACTTGTTCTTCCCTTCCTCCTTGGTTTCTAACTGCTGGCTCAAAATACCTACAGAATAATTTACACTGTCTTAGCTGGAATCCTCAAAGCATCAATAGAAAACTATCTACGTAAAAATACACATACTTCCGTAAAACTGATTTTACTGCCATCTAGTGTTAAAAATCATTTTCATAGATAAGAAAAATAAAAAACAAAGTGAAGTTGACACAAACCACATTTTATTACAGCAATCCAGTAATCTGTAAGATTTGTAGATACAAAAAGCAGCTCTCTGTAACAAGTTTTTTAAAAATCAGGGCTGGTGGCACATCCCTGAAGCAGTGGTTCCCCCCCTCATGGGGTACACTTGTATGCAAGATCTCTGATGCCACTGGCAGCCATGGGAAACAGACTTTCTACAGGTAGAAAAGTCCTGTTGACTGGGGAGGGAGCAGCATGGTATTGTCTATAGAGCATCACTTGGTCAGTATTGTTGCCTAGGGACCATCAAAGTTTTAGGCCTTTAACATTCTGCAGAACTCAGGTTTGTAAAACTATCCGATGGGTATTGCTGCAAGTCATAATATTAAAAAGTCAGTTTTTTGGGTGTGGTTTTTATTTATTTTACATAAACTGCCACCGAATATACATTTCAGGTAGTTTCCCCAGAATCAGGTAAAGGCCAAAAATCAGCAGTGAAGCAACATTTATGCTTCCTGAAGTGATTGGTGTATTCACTACTACAGCCAATAATGCTGAATGGCCAATTCTAAGTGAAGGTGTAAAGCCTATGTTTAAATTGGATTCCTTTAGAGGAACACCATGAATCATTCACAGAAAAACAGGGAATATGCTACCACTATGGACAGTAATCAATACCTTTTTCCCAAGAAGACTATTTCAACAGAACCTTGATGCAAGGGCTTAGTATCTTACTGTCAGTTATTTTGAGATGTGTGGTATCATATGATACTAAAGATCTTGATGGTCAATTTCTTTTCACTGAAACAGAGCACATTCTTTCAGATTCTCCCTAATTTCACTGGAGTGTTGGTATTGCAAGGGGATAGATTCAGGCTCATTTTGCACATGGTACTCATACCATACTCAGGCAAGACAGGATACCATCCTATCCTCTTGACTATTTTGGCAACTGTGCTTGTAAGGGAAGGAGGGAATCCTAAATGTTGTTAAGATCTTCATGAGAATTTTAGCCGTAGGCTTTCCATGAAACTACAGCAGGAAGGCAACTGACGTACTAAGAAGTCTGGATAAACTGAACTGGAGCTTCCCTAGGTGTTAGTACTGAGATGTTACACTTTAATACTCCTCCCTTCATGCACAGAACTGAAAATGTACTGTAGAAATATACAGCCCTATTTGTTTACATGTGAAATGAGAACAAATGACTGAAAATGGCTGGAGACAAAAAAGAAATACTGTAGCCAAGGAGACACTTGTTGTGATGTTGGCTTAGCCAAGTGATCCTTTAATCAAAAGTTGATTTTGGAATTATGAAGAGTAAAACCTTTAGGAAAACAGGGTTGTCTCACATGATAAGATAGCTTGTTTGGGAACTGCTGAAGTGAAGATTTCAATTTGACACCCAGCTCTGAATACAAAAAAATATTTGATCTCATTACTCCTAAGAGTTGGTTACTCCCTCTGACAAAAATGAAGGATACAAAGAGGGTTTTATTTAGAACAGTTAAATCATTCAGGTCGGCCATAGCCAAGAGAGAATGAGGAAAATCTTTGCTTCACCTATATGAGCCTTAAGAACAATGAAGACCAGTGGCAGATATGACCATTAAAACATAAGGTAGGTTTTCCAGTTGGTTTGGTAAACAGAGCCCTATACAACTGCAAAATTAAATACCTGTTTGCAGGGCATATTATGAATTTCAAACATGAGAAGAGTTCTGCTTTTGAAAATCTTACGTACTCGGAAATGCATCACCGCCAGCTGGTGCTGATGCTACAGCATCATGGTGCTGTGGCTGTCCTTGGAACACGGTAAATACAATCATCTCCATTATTAAATCATGAGCTCTTAATTACTTTACAATTTTATTCCTTTTTTATGCAACTTAAGAGTTCTTCTTTATCCATTTGGTATCCGCTTTTCTTCCACTGGTCCCTTAACTGTTGTAAGATTATCCCAACTTCTTTTCCAGAAATCCCTATTTTCATTAAATCATGGCCAGAGACAGGAAAGGAAGGGACAGACCATTGTTGCATTTCTTTTAGAAGATGCTCCTCTCCTTGGTACTTTAAAAGTTCACAGATTTTGGAATTTGTATCAGGTTGCCTAGACTTAAAAAAAAGAAATATATTATGAAATGTTAAAGGTCAGCTTAATCTCAGTGTCTGTTCAACAACATACATCATGGTTCGTGCCATTCTGACAGCCTGCAAGGACTGGATAAGCACAGAAACTGGAATACAGAACTTGCATATACAAATACCTCCATTTTGTTGAGCCCAGGCAGCCCAGCTTTTCCAAATAGCTAACTAATGGCAGATCCTTCGCAAGAGATATTCAACTACCCAATATTAGCCAGTATTAGAGAAGAAATGGGTTGGAGCCTAGGGATCTATTCAGAAAATAGTGAAGAAAATGATATTGGCTCTCTCAGCAGAGTCTTTTATTATTTCCTTGGAGATCTTGGCAGATTCTTGTAGGCTTCCTAAATCTCATAGGACAGCACTTGCTATTATTTCCAGCAGACAACTGGTAGGAAGCCTTTTCTGGTGGAAGAGGACTTCACAGTGATTCATAACCCTGTTACCTCCAGCCTCAAGTACTGCAGTGCACTCAACTACACTTGAAAACCACTCAAACTTCAATAATGGCAAAATGTGGCCGGTTGACTGCTTAGTGAACTACTCAGGGAACACGTACTCGTGCTCAGGATATGGCATTACCTTTACATTCATTTTGTTCCTAGCTGAAGGAGTTGAATCCAAGATGAACTGATTTGTAAATCTTTTAATAGTTTGAGTCCCATGAAATCTACTTCTTTTCTCATATTTCAACAAAGAAGAGACCAACTGGGACAATCCTAATCATGCTGACAATATCTAAACATATTTGCAAGGAATATATGCACAACCTTGACTCAGGCTTTTGTTCCAGCAGTTTAGTTCAACATTTTCAAACCTGGATATCAGTCTCAAAATCCAGAAAGTAACCACTACCCTTGGAGATTAGACAGTTGAGAAATAATGAAAACAAAGCTGCTTCTTGTTAGGTGCCTAAAACTCTAATTTAGGGACCCATTCCTTTGCACAAAATTAAGGAATACTGGCTTTCGTTCCTAATTTTTAGGAAGCAAATGTGGGATATTGATACCCAGTAACCTGCAGATATGCTGATGCAGGGGTTCTTCACAGTGCAAACAATGCAACTATAATTGTAAAACCTATACAAAAAAAACTTTCCACCCCCCACAAACCTCAAAGAAAGGCACAAATATCATGATCCTTATTTGGAACTGTGAGGTAGAGACATGAAGCTATGTGCCAAGGTCACAAAACACATTGGCGACATGGCTGGGACTAGAATCCAAGTCTCTTAATTACAGTAAAATCTGTTATCTGGCCCTAGTGGGGAATGGGGGGTGCCGGTTACCTGAGGTATGAGGTTTTCAGCTGGACGTGGAGCACAGAGGGGAGGGGGCGGTGGGGGTGGTTATGGTTGCATGCAGAGCAGTGGCAGCACAGGGTGGCGGGTGGCAGCTGCATGCTAGTTCCCCCCACCCCGCAGGAGGCAAGGTGGTATGGCTGTGCACATCCTGCCACTTTCAGCAGTGCAGCAGGAGGCAAAGCTGTGCAGCATGGCATCGAAATTCTAGTTACTAAGGTATTCCGGTTGGTAAAGTACCGGATAAGAGATTTCATTCTCTCCTCTGGACCCTGTTGCATCTTTGTAAAAGCAAGGGCTTTATGTTTAATATGCAAGCTAGATTATTAAACAAACTTAATATTATGTTTAATATACAGTACTTACATCTATAATAAAGCTTTGATATGGTTTAAGTGGCTCCAGACTGTCCACTTCTTTGATTAAGTCCTTCCTGTGCTTCACTATGAAGAGGCCAAGATTTTTCTCTTCTTTTGAGATTTTTAGCCTCAGATCAAGTTTCATGACATCATCCTGCACCTTGAACAGCGATGTTAGAATGGTCATTGGTTTTGGAAAGAGATTCTGAACATTTTTACTGACTCTGTCAAATTCCTCTAAACTCCCATTAACAGGAAATCCTAAGGGGGGACACAGAGAAAGAAACACAAAGAAGTGTTAGAGGGACTGGCAAGTCAACAGAAGAAATGTCTAATCAAATACTTAGTAAACATTTAGAATATTGTTACTGTTTTAATACAGTGTTGTTTGGGTATTTGTGTGTTTTACAATTTTTACGCCACAAACATCCTTACTGTACTTTACCTATATACGGGGCAATGTCAAGCTCGTACATAAGTCGGACCAAATGATTTACGTGGTTTCCAGTAAGCAACTTCTTCAGCTCTACCCAAATCCTCTCGCCCGATATTCTAGCCAAACCTTTGGCATTTGTCTTGATTGCTTCCAGTGTATTAGTTTCATGATCACCAGGTTTCTCAGCTATCTTTCCATAAAACCTACAAAACAAAAATTCTAAACATAACTGCCTTCTCAGATCTATTACCACTGTCCAGCTAATGTACCCCAGGACAACTTGAACATGCGAAACCTGTAGCTGCTAAAAAACCTTAGGTGGGATGCACTACATCTGCTCCTATTTTTCACTGAACAGAGAAAACTGGAAACCAATCACACACAGCTCTTTATTTGCAGCACCTATCCGAGGACAAAGCACCATTTGATATTAGACTTTGCATCACACAGGCACTTTGTTATTTAAAATACAATGTCCTCAAGATAATTCTGTTTGAAAATATAACTATGTTATTTGTTTCTTTATTTACAAATGCAGAAACACATTACCTGAAATATCTCAAGATTCGCAAATAGTCCTCTTGTATCCTCTGGTTCGGATCTCCTACAAATCGAACTTTCCTGTTTTTTAAGTCTTTATACCCACTGAAATAATCGTAAAGGGTGCCATCCAAACCTGTTACAGAAAACAATATTTTTGAAGGCATGCTTGGTAAAGCAATTCATAATTTAGGTAACTGATGACAGAGATGATAAAACTTGTTGGAAATTATTTTAAAGCTGGTTAGAGAAGTGAAACATTCTGGTCAGATAATATGCAATTAGATTTGTCTTCTAAATTTGCAGATCTCCCTTGATAGTTGGACAAATCCAATTCAGTCAACAGAATTGCCAAGAAAAAATGGAAAAGCACTGGGGAAAGGCTCAGAAACACTGAATTTAACATGGTCATTAAAAAGTTTTTTATTTTTTTTTGGAAGAAGCTACCTAAAAACATAGAGTTGATGGTAAGATCCCTCCTCTCGGCATCTTTCTCCCAGTCAGTGGTGAATTCCACCTCTGCGTGTCGTCCATCAGTGACTACATCAATTCTGAGTGTTGTGATTTCAAAGTTCTGCTCGTGGACCTGTAATTCAAACACTATTGTTATTTTATTTTCAACCCAGTAATGAACAGGAATCAATATAAAAAAGGCTGAATGTTTCTTTGGGAGCCTTGGGAAGCTAAGCTGTTCTGCAGATACCCAGGATGGACATAACCCTATTTATTACAGAACTGGGAATTACAGAATCAGGAACCACAACTTCCAGTGCCTTTAAACAAGTTCTCACTTAAAAACTTAGTCGAGCTTCTATTGAGAGAATATGTATTTGTTCGGAAAACAAAAAACAAATAGGTATACAAAAATAGAAGGAAATAACTGCAGTACAGGCATCCCTCAGACTTACACGGTTCCTGAAAACTGCATCTTAAGTTGAAATGTTGCAACTCAGAACCAATTTTCTCATAAGAAACGTTATTAATGGGGGATTGATTCCTGAACCAAGGCCTGATACCCTGTTTTCACTAAAAATACCCCAGAATTTTGTACTCAATCAATTATAGATTAGCAATATAGCTACATTGCTATTTACAATATAAATACATTAATCTCATTGATTTGGAAGGACTTCTTGAAAGGCTCTTGGTTGGACTTTTTGAAGGGTTCTTGGCTGGAGTCTTCTCAGGAGTCTTGGCTGCAGGTTTTTCTGGAGTCTTGTCCACTTTCTTAAAGAAAGTGTCCAAGGAAGTTTGGACAGATGTTCTCCAGGGAGATGAGCGACACAGCAAACTTGTTTGCTGGCGTGGCACCGCATCAGATCAAGTGTTGCACAGTTGAAACTGGCATCATAAAGTTGAAACAGGGTGTCAATTTATAAATTTGGAAGTGTGAAACGTTGTAACCTGAAACGCTGTAAGTCAAGACTGCCTGTAGTATTTTACTTATGGGCAAACTATCAGCTTACCACTAGATGTTACCAGTACTGGGAGTGACATGCCTAGAAGCGTACACTTCTAGAGTCTAACGGATCTTTTCCATCTAACTGCTGTAAATGTAGATGATTCATGAACCTGGTTCATTCTTACCCTGGCAGTAATGGTTCCGTGCTTTTCTCCTTTGTTATTGATCATACGCACACCAGCAGACTGGAATATTTCCTTCATCTCAGCTGGTGTAGCAGTAGTGGCAAAGTCCACATCTTCTGGTTTCACTCCATTTAGTAAATCCCTCACTGCACCACCTGCTATTCTTAATTCATACTTCTCTTTTTCAAATAACTCTGGCAGAAAGAAACATATGAAGACCTTTTTTTACCCTCTAAAAATATAATGTTAATCAACTCAGCTGTTCTGGAGATTTGGTTCACATATACAACAACAGATTTTCAACCATGTGTATATTTAATGCTAACCTCATAACATGCACAAAAAACATGTAAATCTACCTATGCACATTTCCACAACAGCTGGCCACCGAACTGGCTGCATCCAAGTACACTTTTTCCTAAACAGGACATTGCATATAAGCATACTTACTTGTAAATCAGGGTCAGAATACAAGATGCATGCAAAACAATGGGCACATCTACAAGTGCATTAACACGCTTTAGTTAATGCACATTAAATCTAATTCCTCCAGGCTCTTACACATACACAGCTTGCTAACTAAAGCACCCGGCACCACGTCCCACACCACACATAAAAATCCCCTGTAATGTGAGGTACTACGAAAATGCATATTAGCCTGTCTTGATGCCCATTAACTAAAGAGCATGCTTTTTAAGGTGACGCTTAATGCATATTAGCCTATTTTAATGAACATTAAGTAAAAAGCGTGTTTTTTTAAGTGATGCTTTAATGTACTTTAAAATAGGCTAATGCACTTTACAGTGCACATCCAAATGCACCCAATGTTTTGATTAGGTAAGAAAGTGCAACCATATAAGGCTTGTGAAATCATTCAAGAAGCACATACAGTAATGCAGATATACTTGTTGGACATTGCTAGCATTTGAGAAGCAATGCTAAGGAACTCACATTTTGAAGTCCTACTCAACAAGGTAGTTTAATAGTGAAAGGAAAGTAAAAAAAAAAAAAGCACAGAGCATGTAACACAAGGAAGTACTGAAGTTTCTGTAAAACTGTCAACTTGGGACAGTGAATCTTTAAATTGCTTCACAGCCAAATATAATAAAGTGTATCTTCCTAACTTGACACGAGAATGCATCTCAGAATAAAAAAGAGCACATGTTGATTTAGATACATTTTTTTTTAGATTTAAATTTTAAAATATATTCTCAAAAAAAAAATGTAAATCAAGAATTTTGAGGAGAAATACCTCCTTAGCAGTTAGTTACTCATTAGACTCAGAAAGAAAAGTGAATTACACAGACAAGCACACAAAAAGGTTTCACTGTCCAAGCTAAAAGAAATACAAACAGGGATACAACATGCATAGGGAAGGTAGGGGTGAATCAGGTATGTGAAGTTTCCAGTTTCAATCATGAAAAGCATTTTTGTTACATTAAATCCTTTTTCCTTCAGTGTCTCCATAAGCATATTTTTAGTTAAGACAAAATTTCAGTGGCTGTATCATTTTTGGCTGTCCTTGACCCCAAAGTTGGCATGGTTAGTATACTGTGTAAAGCAAGAGCTATTAGGAGGAACCTATGAAAACGTTGAAAATATTATTTAAATTGCTTTATAAAATAAATACTGAAGTGGGTTCCTGGAGCATCTTATTCTAAGATGTCAGAGCTAAACTCAGCAGAAATGCCATTTATTTACAGGTCTAATATCAACTTTGCTTTTAAACAGTCCTAGGCAAAAGGGAACTAAAAAGAAATGGGACTCCATGCGTGTATCTCTCTATCTCCAGGTGCACTGATTTTTCATATCAAACTCATTTTTCCTATAAAATTTGCTCATTTTTCATATCAAATCTGTTCAGTATGCAAGTAAAGAGGTTTGTTTCCAACTGGCACTGCCAACAAACACCCTGGGCTCCAGCTGCTCTTTACCTTGGGCATCAGCACCTGTAACAGGCTCTGCAGGTCAAGCTGCAACCTTACCCATTCAACCCCCTCATTTTCAGACTACTGACTCGGTGACTGGTGAATTCAGCACAAAAGTCATACTGACAAACATCAAGACTGGTAAGTTGAAGACAAAAGAAGTGTTCCCAAGGTGCAAGCAAACTGGCCAAGGTCACGTGAGTGTCGTGATGGGCCAAGGTCAAAAGAAACCTGCCTATGAAGGTCTCAAAGTGAATTTGGGCAGGTACATGTTGAAAAGACACCTTTTTGCTTACAGACTGACTGAGCATATCTATGATGCTTGGAGCAAGATCCGATGAACAGAGCCCAACAATACTGCTTATTTTAAGAAAGTCATTTTTTTTTTTGCAAAAGGCCCGATGTCCCCACAGTAGCAATACCTAGTCCTTCCATTCAGGCCCCTGAACTAACCACAAATTACAAAGATTGGCAACGATCGGATTCTTCCGCCCTTGCAACCTCATCCAAATTTGGCCCAAACGACGTTTCTCCGGCTGCTAATCGGCGCCAGCAGTCCCGACATCAAGTGGGGACGAACCTCCCTTGAATTACCGATGTCGAGGGTGACAGCACAGACCTCTCACACCTCCAAGCCGTGCCGCCCGCCCCCAGACAAACCCAGTCGCCGGCCCCGGGGTCTACCGGGCCAAACGCATCAGGAGCCTGGCGGCCCTCACCTGCCACGCTCCTCAGCCCCGGCGTGAAGAGGGACTGGAAATCCGGCGACTCGAACTTCATGGTGATGATGCGCGGCCCTCGCGTCGCCACCCGGCTCCCGGCCACAGGAAGGAGGCGCAGAGCCGGGCCCCAGTGCTGGGACAGCAGCCGACTCCACATCTGGAGAGAGGGAAGACAACGGGCACGTTACCGACAGCCCACAACCGACCCCCCCACCCGCCTGGGGCTGCGTGGCTTCAGCATCCCACCCAGGGGCCGCCTCTAGCAAGGGAAAAATGAAACTGAAAAGAAAAATGTCCCAAGTTTTTAAGCTGCGCAGCGCAGGGAGGCCCCGGGGGGTCCTGTCCTGGCGGGGGGAGGCGGCGGCTGCGCCCTGGGGCGGAGGGGAAGGGACCGCTCCCCACAAGGCCTCTCCCGCGGCCCGGCCGCTGCTGTTGCGGCAGAGCCCCCCGACCCCGCGCCCCCAGCGCC